AAACTGACTGATAGGCTAAGGGGATCTGCAATACTTGTTAGCAGGCTGGAGGAAGTTAGTTGGCCAGTAGGCTGTTAACCTTGGACTTAAGTCTCAAAAAAGCAAATCCTCTTCATTTCCTCCCCTCTCCAGTTACTTTCATTTTTCCCATCCAGGAGGACCTCAGTGACACTCCATGGACAACTCATATAAGGGAGACAGGACTTTGACCTTGGTGGTGGGTTCCTTCACATCTCATCTGCCCCCTCACTGCTCTCTGGATCCCTTGCTCCTCACTCAGTTTCTAAGCACTGCCTGTTCCTTCTTTGCTCTCCCAGTGAAGTCTAGTTGGATTATTCCCATTCCAAGGTGTAATTTGCCACAAGGTTTTATGGGGAGGACTTGGATGGCTGAACAATTAAGTACTGTAGTCCCTACGCAGTTTCACCAGCTTTAAAGCAGTCAGGAGTATGATGCTCTCCACGTCCACACCCCCTGGAACCCCACCTCCTCTACAGTTTCTAATAAGAGAAAAATAAACATTTACGATGAAAATCCATCTTTCAAAGCCAGGTGATACAATAGCAACCTTTTATTTAAAAGAAAAATAAAGATATAACACAAGTAGCAAACAAACTATCCTCAAGGTCTAAAAGTTCTCCAGGCACAAACAAAAATAACTTCGCAACAACCCAGGCCCTGACCTGCTTTTTCTGTGGAACTCGTCTCCTCTCTAAGAGAAGCAGAGAGCGCTAAGTTCTTTTCTCTGTATTGTTTCACTCTCATCTCCTATGAACCTAATAAAGCTTCTCATCACACCTACAGACAGACAGGTGTGCCCTCCCGGGCCTTCTACAACTGAGCAAGACCAGGAGAGCAGGGACGTTTCCTTCCTTCTCTACCCTGGAGGGCGAATTTAGCTATGTGAGCAGAGGGACTTGGTTAAACTCCGTTAACTTGTTGTTTAGTCGCTAAGTCTTGTCTGACTCTTTGTGACCCCATGGACTGTAGCCCACCAGGCTCCTCTGTCCATGGGATTCTCCAGGCAAGAATACTGGGGTGGGTTGCCATTTCCTCCTCCAGGGGATCTTCCCAACTCAGGGATCGAGGCCACATCTCCTGCATTGGCAGGCAGATTCTTTATCACCGAGCCACCAGGAGAGGCCTCTGTTAGCTTACAAGCTTGCTATTAACCAATACCTGAGAGGAGCGTGAGAGTTTCTAGCATCCTCACTAAGTGTCTTCTGAATCCTCAGAGAGGACATTCAGTGTAATGCAAGTCTACCTGTCATAGCAGGTAAGCACATATGTGTGTACGGCTTCCCTGGCCGCACAGTTGTGGCATAAGGATTAGGTGTGTGGGTGACCGAGTCAGACAGACCTGGGTTTGGATTTTGGGTCCCATGCTTTCCGTGGGGCTTTCCTGGGCTGCGTGCTGCATGCTCACGTTGCTCGGTAGCATCTGACTCTTTGCAAGCCTGTGGACTCTAGCCCACCAGGCTCCTCTGCTCATGAAATTTTTCAGGTGAGAATACTGGAGTAGGTTGTCATTTCCTCCTCCAGGGGACCCTCCCAACCCAGGGATCAAACTCACCTCTCCTGTGTCCCTTGCATTGCAGGCGGATTCGTTACCCACGGAGCCATCAGGGAAGCCCCTTTCTGGACTGAAATCCCCAGAAGTGGAACCTGATTCCAGGATTTGAGGATCATGTAGGAGTGACCCCAGGAGAACACAGAGTGGACTGGGAGAGGGAGACAAGGAGAGAGGAAGCCGGTAGGAGTCTCTATAGGGAGCAGGCCACCACTGGGGATGGCTAGGCTCTCCCCCAGTGGGGACCTCTGGGAGAGGCGGCCCATGCCTCAGTCATCTTCCAGAGAGGTGAGAAAGCTGGGGTATTTACCCACCAACTCCTATGCTGCACGGATTGCAGGCTGCTCCCAGGTGTTAAACCTACACCCAGGTCACACAGGCTTCCTCACCAAGAGTTTGCAGAGAAAGTCATCAATGTGTTAAAGAAAGATACAAAAGCATGTAATATACATTGGCATGAATTCAAAATTGTGATACTTTTGTGTGTATTAAAAAAGCAGGTAAACCATCATGCATATGCTGATTACGAACTCTGAAGTTTAACACAGAGAGTTTCCTAGAAAGAGGACAAGCTTCAGGATATGGTTTTCAAACCCATAAACTTAGGTAGACAAGCTAAAGCCTGAGCATCTTTGGGTCTCCCCAACCCCTGGATCCAGCGAAGTCACCTGAGCCGTAGCATCTCACGTGCTTTGCATGACAAAAGAGTGAGGCAGATCTGAATTTGGGTCTACAGATGACCCTCTAGCTGAGGACCTCAGAGTTCTAGCCTCCTGAGTCCCGGTGTCCTCATTTCTAGTCTGGCAAGGACCCACTCAGATTTCTTAGAGATACGGTAGGAATTGAATTTAGGGAGGTGATTGCAGCGGACATGCAGACAGAGAGGCCTGGAGGAATGAAGACCACCTGTTTTCTCTCCCTGGCCCTTGGGTCACCTCCCCTCCCCAGGGCTCAGAGCACTGCCAGCCTCTTGGCCAACCTTCATTCTCTCCTTCGTTTGTCAAACCCTCAAGAACAGGGGGCTTCCCTGGTGGTTCAGACAGGAAAGATTCTGCCTGCAATGTGGGAGACCCAGGTTTGATCCCTGGGTTAGGAAATTCCCCTGGAGAAGGGAATGGCAACCCACTCCAGTATTCTTGCCTGAAGAATCCCATGGACAGAGGGGCCTGATGTACACAGTCCATGGGGTCTGAAAGAGTCGAACAGGACTGGGCAACTAACGCACCCAAGGATGGGGAGTACCAGTCCCGTCCGCACCAAGAGGCATCATCATTGCCCTGAACTAGTCTGCCTTTCCCCGCTGTGATGCTGTGTCCCCAGGACGACGAGAAGCCAGCCAACCTGGGGAGCAGGGGCAGCTGCCAGAGAGGCCCCCCAGACACTTGGGCCAGGTTTCATGAGCTCTTTCATATCTCTTGGTCCCAACCTGGCAACACTTCTGTATCATTCTTCCCTTAGGCAGTTGAAATCAGCTCTGCGGCACTGGTGCTTCTTCAGCAGGAAACGATGGTTAAATCAAGGAGAAAAACTCTAGAAGGGAATGGTCTCCTTCTATCCCTCCTTCTCTTTCTTACACACACACACACACACACACACACACACACACCCCACTGGGGTAAAGAGAGAGGCAGTAACAGACAGAACAAGCAGAGAAAGGAAGAAAGGAAGGGAAAGGGAACAGAAGCAGGACACATGGGCTCTGGCAGCGGGGAGGCCTGAAAAGACAGGACGGGGAGGCGGGAAGGTGAGGCATGGAGGTGCGAGGTCTTCAGGGGGAGACGGGGCAGAAGCAGCCAGCTGTGCAGGGAAACGAGGCAGCCCCACGGGCACCGCGCACAGGCTGCAGCGTCAACAGCCCAGGTGGTGGTAACGGCAAGGTGTGTGCACATGTGCTGGTTGTGTGCGTGTGCACACACCTCTGGAGAAGTGTGCACCCATGAGTGTTACCAGCACAGAAACAGCACAGACACAAAGGGGGGAAACGCTGGCAACCCCGGCGCCGTGCAGGGTCTGTTGAGGGACCTCGTCCCCTCCGAAGGAGCGGGGACCGCTTCTCAGGGACTCTCCCTGCCTCGTCAGTACTTGCTGAGTGGATTTTTTTGTTTTTGTTTTCTAGGCCTCCGTGGTATATAGGATCTTAGTTCCCTCATCAGGGATGGAACCTGGGCCCTCTGCAATGGAAGCGCAGAGTCTTAACCACTGGATTGCCAGGGAATTCCCGCTGAGCAGATGTTGAATGCCATAGCCAGCTCCTTCCCAATGCAGACGGCAGGTGGGACAGTAAATGCAGACGTGGCTCTCCTACCCGCTTCTTCTCACTTTACTGCCATCCCTGCAAAACCAGCCATTAGTGAAAAAGTGCCAGATTGCTAGCCCGGAGCCCCGGGACTCAGAGCCACGCTTCTCTCTCTTGGGGTTGCTGCCTTCTTCCTTTTCCCGGAGTTAAATTACTTACATTCAGACCTTCACTTCCGGGCTAGGCTGAAGGCACCTGGAGCACACACCCCTATTTATTTATTATTTATTATTATCTATTACTTATCTTTAATTACTTACTTATTTAATTTAATTACTTACTTATCTATTACTTATCTTTAGTTCCCCTCAAGTGCCCAGCATCGTACCAGGTGCTCCATGAATGTTTGCTAAATAAATGGGTGGCATAGTGGGTCCATCACGTGCCCCATGCACAGAAGGGGCTTCAGGGTCTCCACACACACAACACACTGTGCTTTTCTTCCTTCTTTCTGTCCTTCTTCCCTCCCTCCTCTCCCAGAATTTATCACGCCTCTAGAAAAGTGCTGGTTCCCCAGATGGCGCTAGTGTTAAAGAGCCTGCCTGCCAATGCAGGAGATGTAAGAGACGCTGGTTTGATCCCTCGGTGGGGAAGATCCCCTGGCAACCCACTCCAGTGTTCTTGCCTGAAGAATCCCATGGGCAGAGGGGCCTGGCAGGCTACAGTCCATGGGGGTGCAAAGAGTCAGACACGACTGAGCTACTTAGCACACACGTACTAGGAATATGCTAGATGATGCTTCTGGGGCCGAAAGTGACCCAAGCCCTTGGTTCCTCTGACTTTCTATAGCCAGTTCGGGTATATATCCTGATGCCTATAGAGGACTGAAAGGATGTGGATGCCTCCAGTGTGTGTCAGGGGCAGGTAAAGGAGGTCACATCCACTAATGGGCAAGATAAGCACCAGCTAGTAAGCTTCAAACTCCTCAGCGATCTCAAGATAAAAGTTACTGACCTGCTGTTTTTGATTTCCCATAAAAAAGAAAGACTGAAGGGAGTGAGGAGGAAGGCAGAAAGAGGGAGGGAAGGAGAGGTGGGAGGAAGGAAAGAGAGGGAGGAAGAAAGCAATCCAAAGCACCAAGCAGCATCAAGGGCGAGTCCTGGGAGGAGCTCCCCAAGAGATGGGGATGCTTACGGAATTCCAGGCATCTCATGTTCTTTTCCATTTAGTTTCCCAACAGCTCCATGAATGGGGTATTGTTGTGAGGAAGGCATTCACCAGTGTAGAAACAGGCTGTGAGAGGTGACTGCCAGGTGAAGTTGGGGTCATCTAGGAAGAAGAGGGGAGGGTGTCCTTGACCATGGCACCCAGCAGTGCCCATGACCCAGTCCTGCAGACGGTGCCAACCCGAGTCAGCCTCCTCTGATCTGCAGTGGCCTGCCTCCTGGTCACAGGACGGACAGACCCTCAGAACTTCTCTTTTGTGGCTCAGGACTGACATCCACGACCTTCCTGCCTGTCTCCAGTTCAGCCAGTTCGAAAGTCAAACAGCTGATTCCTCTGAGCCATCACGGCAGGTGGTCACACGGGGGACGGAGGAAGGGCCTGCCTCTGGGGCTCTGGGTACTGATCTTGCAAAGGCATGTCAAGCAGGCAGGCCCCAAGAGGAGTCTCGGGGACTCAGTGTGGGTTCATTCAGCCTTTCGTCCTTGGGGACCCCCAGCCTGTGGAGCCTGAGCAGACACCTGCAGAAAACCTGCGCCTGCCACCCAGTCCCCAACCCCGGCTGCAGCAGCCTGGGGCTCGATCACAGTGGCCCTCAGCAGAGTCATCTCCCACAGACCAAATCACCTGCAGGAACTTCCTCATTTGGGGGGATCCATAATATTGTCCTATATGTCCCAGTGGCTTGCCTGTCACCTAAGGTCTTGCCCACTCCAGCCCCAACACACAACATCCTTATCCTTTCCAAATCACAGCCTGACTCAGGACAAAGACAAAAATCTGTTTCATCTCCTAATGGGCTGTTGGGAACAGTGGACCTTTATTTGGCAAGCTGGGACCATTCATACTGAGCCTCATTCTCATTCTATTTTGATGTCTAAGAGCATAGGTGGTAGTTTTGGAGGAACTGGATTCTGCCACAAATGTCTTGACACTTATCCACTCAGCTCCTCATCTTTGAAGCAGGTTTATTGGCTTATTTCTCATGTTTATTGGTTTATTTCTCATGTGGCGGTTGTAAGAATGAAATGTGATAATAAGGCTCACAAGCTGCCCACTCAGTGCTACAGTTTCACACTGAGCAGGAGGATTCCCGCCTGGGACATGACTGAGTGACTAACACTTTTCAGTGAAGGCAGTGGCACCATGAGCTATTTTCTGATGATGGCCCCTGAAACATTCCCTGCGTCTGATCAATGTCTCTTGATGCGGAAACCCTTTTACTGGGTCAGTTCTGTTCAGGACTGTTAGACTACAAGGGCTGCATCTCAGAGTTCTCTGTAACTGGCACCATACCCGGCACAGAATACCCCACCAGGGGCTTCCTGAAAGGTATAGAGGTAGCTGGTCTCAGTGTGAATCCCAGGTCTCCTGCTTAATTCACTGTGACCTTGGGCAAATCATGTAACTTATTTGAGCCCCCATTTCTTTATCAATAAATGAGGATAATGCCACCTTACATGTAAACTATGAATACTAAGCCAGCTCTGCAAAATGGATGGGATCATCATCCATTTTCCATTCAATTTCAGAAGGTACCTGTGTTCAAGTGTGTTGCCATGCATGTCTTCACTTTGCACAATAACTCGGTGGTGAACCTGACTCAGCACAAATACAAAAATCGACTTCTGCTATTTGACTGATGGGGACAATGAACCTTCTTTTGACAAACTGGAACCCTATTGACTTACTTGCAAAGCAAGCGGATGAATCTAAATGGTTCCATTATCCTTTTGTTCGTTCTTTGTTTAACACTTACTGACAGCTCACCAAGCATCAAGGCTGCAGAATAAACACAGAATAGCCCTTGCCTTCAGGATGCATACTGTCTAATTGGGGCAAAAATCTCTACAGTACTGTGGGGTCTATGATGGGACAGAGAATGCCAGAGTCACGATGCACACGAGCCGTGAATATTCTGCAAAGGAATAAAAACATCCTGCGCCTTAGGGATAGAAGAGCACGGGAAGGGGCCGTCTGGACCTCGCCTCATGCCTTTGCATCCTAGTAATATGAAGATTCTTCCTGTCCTGCAGACCTCTAGGCAAAGGTCTGTGTGTGGTGGTTCCAAGAGTGGTCTCCTAACAACGGGCCCTAGAACATTCTCTGGGTCTGACCAATATTGTTTGACTTGAAACCCTTTTTCTGGGTCATTTCTGTTCAAAATTCTAACTTTCCCTTTGGGGGAGGTCAGATTAAAAAGTAGATGGGAGAAGGGGTGATGAGCAGTGACAGATGGAGAATGAACAGGGGCCTCAGGGAGCAAGGGGCTGCTGGAGCTTTCTCCTAGGACACCTCTGAGCACATCAGTGTGCTGCAAACAAGGCATCGTGGCTAAAACTTGGATTGCCTTGGATTGCCTCCCAGGAAGGACCTTCCTTTGACCCAGTGGCCTCTGTCCTCCCAGGCTCTGGAGCCCATGAAGGGCCCAGCAAAGGCCCCCTGGGGTAAGGCATCCTGGCAGGGCCCAGCCCCCTCCCGTTCTAGGTGAGGGATAGATTTCCCAGGGTAGGGCCCGAGAGAGCTAGGGTCAGGCTTCCCACTAATCACCCTCCAATTTGCAGCTTCTGATGATCCTAGCTGAGAAGCAGCAGCCTCATTATATAGGAAAGCATTCTGGTTCTTTAATAAGAGGGTGAGGTACCTGGCTTTCCATCTCTGATGGAGAACAGCACCACCAGATCAAGGAAGTCTCATGAGGCAGGTCGGAGGACACCAGAGTTCTTGGTCAGCTAAGGGGTGAGCCATTCAACAGACCCTGTTGTGCATTCTGCTATAGGCCAGGCACCAGGCCAGGCGCTGAACCACATAAGGGACAGTCCCTGGTGTCATTACACTTGCAGGATAACACAACCATATATTGATCTGACATCCCCAGCAACCACCAGGGATATAAAAAACAAGGAAGATATGATCCCTGCCTTTGAAGAGCTTGTACGCTAGTTCATTCATTCATAAAGTATTGCTCGTGTACCTGTTGTGGGAGGTCCTGGGTTAGGTCCTGGGAATCCTAGCTGAATTATTAACAGTAGCTTCAAGGAGCTCACATTCTCCTAGGGCCACCTGAACTGCCAGGTCTGGGTCTAGGGGTGGAATTCTGGCATCCTGGAACTCTATAGAGGTCATCTAGTTCACCCTTCCATTCACTGTGGGCTAAGGGTGGCCATGGAACCTCTCTCTGGCCAATGAGATTAATTGGAAGTTGTTGGGTGGCTCTTCTGGGAAAGCTTGTGCTTAATAGGCAAACTCAGTAGGCATGCCTGCTTAGCTATAGCCTTCCCTGCTTAGAATACAGATGTGACATCTGGAAACACAGCAGCCATCTTGTGATGCTGAGCTTAAATGCCTCAAAGGAATAGAGAGGGGGCTTCCCTGGTGGTCCAGTGGCTAAGACTCCACGCTCCCAATGCAGGGAGGCTGGGTTTGATCCCTGGTCAGGGAACTAGATCTTGCATGCCATAACTAAGACACAACTCAACCAAATAAATAAATAAATGTTAAAAAAAAAAAAAAGGGCAGAGAGACAGAAGGGACTTGGTTTTAATGGCAACAATAATACCCCTTTGAACAACCAAACAAGCCCCAGATGGACCTGTGTTCACCATGCTTTACATGCTAAATGCTTTATATAAAAAAACATATAGAACCTATAAAGGAGTTGCTGTAATTATCCCCATTTTACAGATGAGAAAACAGAGACACAGAGACAGGAAGTGCCGAGTCCATCTAGGACTTCCGGCTCTACAGCACACCCCTTTAATTAACCACCATGGCTCTCATTTCAATAAATGCCCCCCACAATCCTAACCTCTTGTTTGGGCTTCAAAAATCACCTGTTTGGTAACACTTACGCTGCCAGGCCCCTGTCCCCACCAGCAGAATGTATTGTCCTGTCCTCTCTGTGATGGCGTGCACCGCTCCATCAGAACTCTGCGAATGACACAGTAACTGCGTATTTGTGTGGCTGTGTCTCCCACTGGGCTGAGAGATGCTTCCTCAAGGTCAGGGATGAACTAAAGTGAGTGTGTATGGGCAGGAGTCTCCCATGTATGTATGAGTGTGAACGCTCAAAAGCAATGGCCTGTACCAGGCATCCCTGCATTCTGCCTGTGCAGGAAAGCTGTCTACTGAATGCATGGGTGAATGAATGGTCAACTGAGAGAACAAGTAAATGAAAGAGTGAATGAATATATGACAAACGACTATATGAACGAATAAACAACAAAAAGATGGTATATACCCACTTGAATGCTTTCCAGAGCCCTTCCCTGAGTGGGCTGGGGACAGGAGCTTTACTATCACAATCGCTAGTCAGTAGAACAGTGGCTCCCAGTTTTCACCAGGATCACCTGCAGAAACAGATGGTTCAAAATAAAGAACAGAATAATAACTAACACTTCTCAGTTCCTCCCTATATGTCAGGCACCTTCCTGAGCCCTTTCATATCCTAATGCATGTATCTTCACCCTCTTGGATAAGTATTATTGTTATCCACACTTTACAGATGGAAAAGTTGAGGCACAGAGAGTTTAAGTCACTAGTCCAAGGTCACCCAGCTGGTAAGTGGTGGACCTCAGATTTGAACCAGGCGGTCTGGCCCCAGAGTCCATGCTCATAACCCTGCACAATACCATGTCTCTACTGTTTTTTAATCCCCCTGTACCGCACAGGTGTTGCAAAGTGATTTCTGGGTACACTGGGTAAAGCTTGGAGGAACTTTTGAGGCAATAATACGTAGAAAAAGTGAACCTTTCAAAGGTGTTCAGGAGAAGGCTGTTAAAGCTCCAATTTGCAGCTCAGCCCATGGTGACAGGCTCAGTTAGGGATGCAGGGAGGGTCTTTGCCCCCTCATCACCCTCGTCATTGTCATGCAGCCCTCCCTGGGGTCCAGGATGGAGGAGGAAACGCTGGCTGGCCATGCCCTCCACTTCTGTCTCCTGAGCTCCAGACAGGGGAACGGGGAGGGCAGCCCATTGCCCACCCTGTGGCACTCCAGCCAGAGACCTTCCGGGGTGAGAGGAGAGACGGGGGCAGCCCGCCCTCCCCCACTGTGGTGCCCCAGCGTGGCCCAGGGACCTCAGTGTCACTGCTGTGTCTCCAGGGCAGGCAGTGGAGGGATGATGTGTGGCTCTCTCGAGGCCCCCTGAGTGCAGAAATGTTTAAAAGCCTTAAATAAATTCCCATCTAATTTCCACTAGCTCCCATCTCCAGCTCGGGCTCTCAGCCGGAGCATGAAATGAGCAGGCAGGGTTTCTCCTGCCAACATGTCTCCTCCATGAGCCCCAGGGGACCCACTCCATGACCTAGCGGGGCTTTTCCATCTCAAATATCTATGGCTCCAGCCTCTCCCTCCCGGGCATGCTGACCTCCCTGGGCTGAGCTCTCCATCCCGGCCCCAGCCTCGCTCAGGCTGCCTCCCCAGCCTCCGTCCTCCCCAAAGTGGGCTCTGTTTCCTAACACATCCAGCCTTCTAGGAGTTGACTGAGGGCTGCCTTTCCTTCCACGTGGTCTCAGCTCTTCCCCCCCCACCAAGAGTCCGTCTCCATCACTCACGGCCCGCAGGCCCCGCCATGAGAGAACAGGCCTCCTACCTGGCTCTACCTGCCCTTCTAACCACAGTCTGGCCCGACACTCGCCAGCCCCATCAGGTCCATCCGAGTCGTACACCCCACACACATGGCTGCCTCTGGGCCTTTGCACTTGGCATCCCCTCTAGCTGCGCCCCTCTCCAGATCCCCAGGTGCTCCTGCTCTGCTTCACTCAGTCTCTGCTCCAATAGACAATAGAGGTCTACTCCAATAGACCTCCCCAGACAGGCCTTTCCTGGCCACCACCATTACCCACCACAGCTAACTTATCTTTCTGCGGCACATATCACATTCTGACATATTATATTTTTCATTGACTACAACACATGTGACCTATACATGTATCACATGTGTGTTTTATTATTGCCTGTCGACTTTACTAGAACATCATCCCCTTGGGGGCATGTGTAGTTCTGTAGTCAGCACCCAGAGCAGTGCCTTGTGCCCAGGGGATGATTTGTTTGTTGAATGCACATGAGTAAAGGAAAGGATGGATGAGTGTGTTAAGTTAACCTGAGGAAGTTTAGCCAGGTTGCTAAGAATGCTATTTAGGGACTGGGTAGCCTAGAGTTAGCTTTCTGAGCCAGATAGGCTCTTGGAGATTGGGATGGTGCAGTCTAGGTTTGGAGCCTGAACTTAGGAGCCAGGTAGCCTGGCTTCCAGTCCCAGCTCACCACCTTCTGACTCTGTGACCTCGGGCAAGTTGCTGAAACTTTCTGTGCCTCAGTTCCCACAAACACTATGCTTTTATAAGATGGCAAGTTTGCTTGATCAATGTTTTGGTGTGTTCCTGCTGCTCCATCTACCAGTCATTCCCCTGTCTCTCTCCCTCTCCTTAGGCATCCCCATCCCCTGAGACACAACAGACCAATTAATAGACCAATTAGTAACTCTACAGTGGCCTTTAACTGTGCAAGCGAAAGGAAGAGTAGCACGTCTCTCACTTTAACTCAAAAGCTAGAGGTGATTAAATTTAGTAAGAAAGAAAGAAAGTGTTCATCGCTCGGTCGGATCTGATTCCTTGCAGCCCCAAGGACTTATAGCTTGCCAGGCCCCTGTGTCCATGGAATTCTTTCAGCAAGAATTCTGGAGTGAACTTCCATTCCCTTCTCCAGGGGATTTTCCCAACCCAGTGATCGAACCCAAGTAACCTTAACTCTAACCCTAATCCTAAGTTAGTAAGAAAGACAAGTCAAAAGCAAAGATAGGCCAAAAGCTAGGCCTCTTGCCCCAGTTAGCCAAGTTGTAAATGTAAAGGACAAGTTAAAGGAAATTAAAAATACTGCTCCAGTGAACACACAAATGTTAAGAAAGTGAAACAGCCTTATGGCTGATATGGGAAAAGTTGGAGTAGTCTCAATAGGAGATCAGACTAACCACAATATCCCTCAAGCCAAAGCCTGATCCAGAGAAAAGCCCTAACTCTCTTCAATTACATGAAGACTGAGTGGGGTGAGGAAGATACAGAAGACAGGTTTGAAGCTAGCAGTGGTTGGTTTAAGGAAATTAGCCAATTCTATAACATAAAAGTGTAAGGTGAAGTAGCAAGTGCTAATGTAGAAGCTGCAGCAAGTTATCCAGAAGATCTAAGATAACTCATGAAGATGGCTTCACTACACAACAGATCTTCAGTGTAGATGAAACAACCTTCTATTGGAAGAAGATGACATCTAGGACATTCATGACTAGAGTTGTTGTTCTTGTTGTTGTTCAGTTGCTAACTTGTGTCTGAGTCTTTGCAACCCCATGGACTGGAGCACACTAGGCTTCCCTGTCCTCCACTATCTTCCAAAGTTTGTTCAGTTTCATGTCCATTGAGTTGGTGATGCTATATAACCATCTCATTCTCTGCTGTCCTCTTCTTTTGCCTTCAGTCTTTCCCAGCATCAGGGTCTCTTCCAATGAGTTGTCTCTTTGCATCAAATGGCCAAAGTATTGGAGTTTCAGCTTCAACATCAGTCCTTCCAAGATTACTCAGGATTGATTTCCTTTAGAATTGACTGGTTTCATCTCCTTGCTGTCCAAGGTTCTCTCAAGAGTCTCTCAACAACATCATCATTTGAAAGCATCAATTCTTTGCTGTTCAGCCTTCTTTATGGCCCAACTCTCACATCTGTACATAACTATTGGAAAAACTCTAGCTTTGACTATACAGATCATTGTCAGCAAAGTGATGTCTCTGCTCTTTAATATGCTGTCTAGGTTTGTCATAGCTTTCATTCCAAGAGGCAAGTGTCTTTGAGTTTCATGGCTGCAGTCAACATCCACAGTGATTTTGTAGCCCAAGAAAATAAAATCTGTCACTGCTTCCACTTTTCCCCCTTCTATTTACCATGAAGTGATAGGACTGGATGCCATGATCTTCGTTTTTCAAATGTTCAGTTTCCAGCCAGCTTTTTCACTCTTCTCTTTCACCCACATCAAAAGGCTTTTTAGTTCCTCTTTGATTTCTGCCATTAAATACCAGGCAAATGATACTAGACAATCTGCATATTTGA